TCCCTTGGGCTCCACATCCTCGTCCCTGTCCCCAGGGCGCCCCTTGGGGACACGCAGCCCCCCCCGGCCTCTTGTCCCTGTCCCTTGGGCTTGGGGACACCTGGTGGAGCCCCTTGTCCCCATCCCAGCCTTGGGGACACCTGGTAGAGCCCCTTGTCCCCATCCCTTGGGCTTGGGGACACCTGGTGGAGCCCCTTGTCCCTGTCCCTTGGGCTTGGGGACATCTCTTCCAGCCTCGCTGGGCTCTGTCCCCGCTGCGTGGTCCCCCCGGTCTCTCACCTGTGTCCCTTTGTCCCTGTCCCCGCCAGGCACGGTGACCCTGCGCATGTTCCGCGAGCTGCAGAGCTCGGAGATCGTCCAGCACCTCACCAAGACCTTCGACGAGGTTGTCCCCACGCGGGTGCCCGTGTCCCCACGGGGGTCCCCGTGTCCCCGCGGGGGTTGCCATGCGTGTCCCCATGTCCTTGTGGGTGTCCCCATGTCCCCAGGCGTGTCCCCATGTCCCTGCAGGCGTGTCCCTGCAGGTGTCCTCATGTCCCCTGTGTGTCCCTATTGGTGTCCCCATGGGTGTCCCCTTGTCCCCCACGTGTCCCCACCCGTGTCCATGTGTCTCCATGCGTGTTCCCATGGGTGTCCCCATGTCCCCACGAGTGTCCCCATGTTCCCACAGGTGTCCCCATGTCCCCCACGTGTCTCCACACGTGTTCCCCTGTCCCCATGGGTGTCCCCATTGATGTCCCCATGTGTGTCCCCACGGGTGTCCCGCTGTCCCCCACGTGTCCCCACGCATGTCCCCATGTCCTCACATGTGTCCCTATCTGTGTCCCCATGTCCTCACAGGTGTCGCCATGTCCCCATGTGTGTCCCCATGGGTGTCCCCATGTCCCCCATGTGTCTTCATGTGTGTCCCCGTGACCCCATGCGTGTCCCCATGGATGTCCTCATGTCCCCCACATGTCTGCGTGTCCCCCTGGATGTCCCCCTGTCCCGCATGTATCCCCACATGTGTCCCTGTGTCCCTATGTGTGTCCCCATGGGTGTCCCCATGTCCCCCACGTGTCCCCATGGGTGTCCCCCCGTCCCCACATGTGTCCCCCCGTCCCCATGGGTGTCCCCACAGGTGTCCCCATTTCCCCATGGGTGTCCCCCTGTCCCCCACATGTCCCCATGTGTGTCTCTGTGTCTCCATGCGTGTCCCCACGAGTGTCCCGCTGTCCCCTACATGTCCCCACGCGTGTCCCTGTGTCTCCATGCGTGTCCCCATGAGTGTCCCCATGTCCCTATGGGTGTCCCGCTGTCCCCCGCGTGTCCCCATGTCCCCATGCCTGTCCCCATCGGTGTCCCCATGTCCCCACGGGTGTCCCCATGACCCCCACGTGTCCCCATGCATGTCCCCATGGGTGTCCCCATGTCCCCACGGGTGTCCCCATGACCCCATGTGTCCCCATGCCTGTCCCCATGGGTGTCCCCATGTCCCCACGAGTGTCCCCATGACCCCCATGTGTCCCCATGCATGTCCCCACGGGTGTCCCCATGTCCCCACGGGTGTCCCCATGACCCCATGTGTCCCCATGCCTGTCCCCATGGGTGTCCCCATGTCCCCACGAGTGTCCCCACACGTGTCCTCATGTCCCCACGGGTGTCCCCGTGTCCCCCCGCGTGTCCCCGCGGCGCAGGACTCGGCCGAGTACCCGCTGTCGCGGCACACGGGGCCCTGGCGCCGCTTCCGCGCCAGCCTCTGCGAGCTGCTGGCGGCCGTGGTGTGGCGCGGGCGCCACGGCGCCGTGCTCGACGGCTTCCTGCTCGGCGCCCTCGTGCCACTGCTCGCCGCCCTCGCCGACTCGCCCGTGCGCGCCTTCCGCCACACGGGCACGCTCGTAGGTAGGGACAGCGTGGGGACGTGGGGACACTGCAGGGACATGGTGGGAATGGGCCCTCCGCCACACGGGCACGCTCGCAGGGAGGGGACACCATGGGGACACCTTGGGGACATGGTGGGAATGGGCCTTCCAGCACACAGGGACACTGGCAGGTAGGGGATGGCGTGGGGACAGCATGGGGACAGCGTGGGGACATGGGGACACCTTGGGGACAGTGTGGGGACACGGGGGAATGGACCTTCTGGCACACAGGGACACTGGCAGGTAAGGACAGCGTGGGGACAGTGTGGGGACACCTTGGGGACATGGTGGGAATGGGCCTTGCGGCACATGGGGACACTCACAGGTAGGGACAGCGTGGGGACAGCATGGGGACAGTGTGGGGAGGATGTGGGACACCTTGGGGACACCTTGGGGACATGGTTGGAATGGACCTTCCGGCACACGGGGACACTGGCAGGTAGGGACAGCGTGGGGACATGGTGACACTGCCAGGTGTCACCGTCGCCACGTGCCACCCAGTCAGCCCTGAAGCTGATGACAACCCTGGTGCGGGTGGCTATGGGTGCATGCAGGGACACGGGGACACCCTGGGGACACGGTGACACCCTTGGGGACACGGTGACACCCCTGGGTGTCCCTGTCCCCCTGCAGCCCTGAAGCTGATGTCGGCCCTGGTGCGGGTGGTTATGGGTGCATGCAGGGACAAGGGGACACCCTGGGGACACGGTGACACCCCTGGGGACACGGTGACACCCCTGGGTGTCCCTGTCCCCCTGCAGCCCTGAAGCTGATGTCGGCCCTGGTGCGGGTGGTTATGGGTGCATGCAGGGACACGGGGACACCCTGGGGACACGGTGACACCCTTGGGGACACGGTGACACCCCTGGGTGTCCCTGTCCCCCTGCAGCCCTGAAGCTGATGTCGGCCCTGGTGCGGGTGGTTATGGGTGCATGCAGGGACAAGGGGACACCCTGGGGACACGGTGACACCCCTGGGGACACGGTGACACCCCTGGGTGTCCCTGTGTCCCCCGCAGCCCTGAAGCTGATGTCGGCCCTGGTGCCGGTGGCGCTGGCGCTGGCCACGCGCGGGGACAACAACGCGCGGCAGCTGGAGGCCGAGCGGAGCAAGGGACCCGGGCGCAGGGCCCCCGCGCGGCTCGAGGAGCTGCTGGAGCAGCAGCGCGAGGTGGCTCGCGGGGACACGGCCACGGGGACACGGGGATGGCACCGGGGACACGGGGACACGGGGATGGTGCCGGAGATGGGGACACAGGGACGGTGGCGGGGATGGCGACGGAGACACAGGGATGGCACCAGGGATGTGGAGACGGTGTCGGGGACATGGGAGCAGCACCAGGGACACGGGGACCGTGCCGAGGACATGGGGATGGCAACGGGGACACTGCCGAGGACACAGGGATGGTGCTAGGGACACGAGGATGGGGACGGGGAGGCAGGGATGGCACCTGGGGCACAAGGATGGGGAGGGGGACGCAAGGATGGGGACGGGGACACGGGGACAGCGCTGGGGACATGGGGACAGTACCGGTGACACGAGGACGGCTCCAGGGACACAGGGATGGCACCGGGGACATGAGAATGGGGATGGTGACATGGGGATGGCGCCGGGGACACAGGGATGGTGCCGGAGACATGGGGACAGCGCCGGGGACATGGGGACAGCACTGGGGACATGGGGACGGCGCCGAGGATGGGGACACACGGATGGCGCTGGGGACAGGGACACGGGGATGGCACCGGGGATGGGGACGGCACAGGGGACACAGGGATGGCGCCGGGGACACGGGGATGGGGACATGGGGACAGTGCTGGGGATGGGGACACGGGGACGGTGCTGGGGACACAAGGTTGGTGCCGGGGATGGGGACATGGGGACACAGGGATGGTGCCAGGGACATGGGGACAGTGCCAGGGAAACGGGGACAGCCCCGGGGACACGGGGACAGTGCCGGGGACATGGGAATGGCGTCGGGGACATGAGGATGGCGCCGGGGACACGGGGACGGCACTGGGGACACAGGGACAGCCCCGGGGACATGGGGACAGTGCCGGGGACACGGGGATGGTGCCAGGGCCAGGGACACGGGGCCGGGGAGGCGGGGAGCGTCCCCGCGGCCGGTGGCAGCCCCGGTGCCCCCGCAGCTCCAGGAGCAGCAGGAGGACCTGGAGGCGCTCATGAACTCCATCTTCAAGGGCATCTTCGTGCACCGCTACAGGTGACGCGTCCCCGGGCGCTTGGGGACGCGCGCGGGGACCTGTGGGGACCTGCGGGGACACGGCTGCACACGGGGAGCTGCTGGGGGCAGCAGGGAGGACGGGGCCGGTTGTGGCGCCAGGGTGGCGGGAGGAGGCGCCCGGTGGCCCTTGTGGCACCTGGTGGCTCCAGTGGCTCCGGTGGCTCTGGTGGCACCCGATGGCCCCGCGGTGGCTCCGGTGGCCCCGTGGCGGCTCCGGTGGCACGGCGCTGGCCCCGCAGGGACGTGGTGCCCGAGATCCGGGCCACCTGCATGGAGGAGCTGGGCCGCTGGATGAGGAGCTCGGCCGCCTTCCTCACCGACGGCCACCTCAAGTACCTGGGCTGGACCCTGCACGACAAGGTGGGCACGCGGGGACAGGGACGGGCGGCGGCACTGTCACCGTGCCCGTGTCACCGTGTCACCGTCCCGTGTCACCGTGCCCGTGTCACCATGTCCCCGTGCCCGTGTCACCATGCCCGTGTCACCGTGCCCGTTCCTGTCCCTGTGTCCCCATGCCCGTGTCCCCGTGCCTCTCCCCGTCCCCGTGCCTGTGTCACTGTGCCCGTTCCCGTCCCTGTGTCCCCATGCCCGTGTCCCCATGCCTGGGTCACCGTGCCCGTCTCCGTGCCCGTGTCACCATGCCCGTGTCCTCGTGTCATCGTGCCCATCCCCGTGTCACCGTGCCCGTCTCCATGCCTGCGTTCCCGTGCCCGTGTCATCGTGTCCATGTCCCCATGCCTGTCCCCGTGTCACTGTCCCCATGTCACCATGCCCGTGTCCCCATGCCTGTCCCCATGCCCGTGTCCCTGAGCCTGTGTCCCCATGCCCGTCCCATCCCGTGTCGCCATGCCCGTCCCCGTGTCCCCATGCCTGTGTCCCCGTGTCCCCGTGACCGTGTCGCCATGTCTCCGTGCCCATGTCACCGTGCCCGTGTCACCATGTCCCCATGCCCGTGTCCCCATGCCCATGTCCCCATGCCCGTGTCCCTGTGCCTGCGTCACCGCGTCCATCCCCATGCCCATGTCACCATGTCCCCATGCCCGTCCCCATGTCCTCGTGTCCCCATGTTACCATGCCCACGTCACCGTGCCCATGTTCCCGTCCCCGTGTCCCCGTCCCCGTGTCCCCGTGTCACCGTGCGCGTGTCCCCGTCCCGCAGCAGCCCGCCGTGCGCCTGCAGTGCGTCAAGGCCCTGCAGCGGCTCTACGGGCGCCCCGACGCCGCCGCCCACCTGGAGCTCTTCACCGGCCGCTTCAAGGTGCCGCCCGGGGACACTGGGGACACTGGGGACACTGGAGACACTGCTGAGAGCGGGCCCGTGGGGATGGGAACACTGGAGACATTGGGAATGCTGGGGACACTGCTGAGGTCGTGTGGGTGGGGACAGGGTGGGGACACTGGGGACATTGTTGAGCGCATGTGTCCATGGGGATGGGGACTCTGGGGACACTGGGAATGCTGGGGGCACTACTGAGAGTGTCCATGGGGATGGGGACAGTGTGGACACATCCATGGGGATGGGGACACTGGGGACACTACTGACCGTGTGTGTCTGTGGGGACGGGACACTGGGGTCACTGCTGAGAGCGCATGTTCAGGGGGACAGGGCAGGGGACAGTGGGGACACTGCTGAGCACGTGTCCATGGGGATGGGGACACTGGGAACCCTGGGGACACTGTTGAGTGCCTGTGTCCATGGGGATGGGGACACTGGGGATGCTGGGGACACTGCTGAGAGCGTCCATGGGGATGGGGACACTGTGGACACATCCATGGGGATGGGGACACTGGGGACACTGCTGAGTGCTTGTCCATGGGGATGGGGACACTGGGGACACTGCTGAGTACCTGTGTCCATGGGGATGAGGACACTGTGGACACATCCATGGGGATGGGGACAGTGGGGACACTGCTGAGCGCGTGTCCATGGGGATGGGGACCCTGGGGACACTGGGGACACTGCTGAGCACCTGTGTCCATGGGGATGGGAACACTGTGGACACATCCATGGGGATGAGGACACTGGTGACACTGCTGAGTGCTTGTCCATGGGGATGGGGACACTGTGGACACATCCATGAGGATGGGGACACTGGGGACAGTGCTGAGCACGTGTCCACGAGGATGGGAATGCTGGGGACACTGGGGACACTGCTGAGTGCATGTCCATGGGGATGGGGACACTGGGGACAGTGCTGAGTGCGTGTCCGTGCGTGTCCCCCTCCTGTCCTCGTCCTCACCACCAGACCCGCATGGTGGCCATGGTGCTGGACAAGGAGCCCGACGTGGCCGTGGAGGTCGTGAAGCTGCTGACGCTGATGGCAGAGTGAGCGTGGGGACACGGGGACACGGGGATGTGGGGATGTGGAGACGTGGGGACATGGGGACGGGGCTGGGGGGGATGGGGACATGGGGACATGGGGATGGGAGGACACGGGGACACGGGGACGTGGGGATGTGGAGACGTGGGGACGGGGCTGGGGGAGATGGGGACATGGGGACGTGGGGACGGGGACGGGGCCATAGGGGACACAGGGTGACAGCAGGGACGCAAGGTGACAGCAGGGCTGGGTGCCACCACTGTCCCCATGCAGGAACGTGGAGGACGCCCTGGGGACAGGGGGACGGGGCCATAGGGGACACAGGGTGACAGCAGGGCCGGGTGCTCCTGGTGTCCCCGTGCAGGAACGTGGAGGACGCCCTGACGGAGGCCGAGAGCTGCCGCGTCTGCACCCTGGTCTACGCGGCCGGCCGGGACCTGGCGGCCGCCGCCGGGCGCTTCCTGTGCGCGAGGTGGGCGACGGGGGGCCCCGCGTCCCCGTGTCACCCCTTGGTGTCACCCGCACGTGGCCCCAGTGTCCCCACGTCCCCCTCCCTTCCCTGGTGTCACCTGCGCGTGGCCCCGATGTCCCCATGTGTCACCCTGCGTGGCCATGACCCACATGTGGCCCCCATCACCCCCACGTGGCCCCCCACCCCCGGCGGACCCTGTGTCCCTCGGGGTGTCCCCACAAGGGCTGCCCGTGTCCCCTGGGGTGTCCCCACAAGGGGTCCCCATGTCCCCCTGGGTGTCCCCGTGTCCCTTGAGGTGTCCCCACAAGTGGTGCCCGTGTCCCGGTCCCCCAGGCTGCTGGCCCGGCAGCGGGAGGCGGCGCCGGAGGACGGGGACAACCGGACCTTCCTCCTCCTCCTCCTCGACTTCTTCCTGGAGAGCGAGGTGGGGCGCGGCCCGCGGGGGTCCCCGCTGTCCCCAGTGTCCCCAGTGTCCCCAGTGTCCCCCATGTATGTCCCCAGCTGCACGAGCACGCGGCCTATCTGGTGGACAGCGTGTGGGACTGCGAGGGGCGGCGCCTGCGCGACTGGGACAGCCTGAGCGCCCTGCTGCTGGAGCGGCCGCCCGCAACTGGTACGGACTGGGAGGGACTGGGA